CTATCACTCCAGCCCTGTCTATGTTCTTATTCCACTGACCTCATTTGCTTTGTCCTCCAGAATGACAAGTCACCAGGGAGGGACCTCCAGTGACCACCACCCCAAGCATTTCCATCCCACGGGGCTCAGACCCCCATCCCAGCTGTGACCACCACACCGGGGGAATCTCCACCACACTGCAGTGGGCTGGCGCCGGAACTGAAAACCAAGAGACCAAACAGAACCGGGAACTTGCCCAAAATCTTTTCACGACACAGAACCACGTGTGCCGGCCAGCACCGTGTGTTCTCAAGCTGCCTGGGGACTGGGGGACACCTGGTGAGGTCACCACACAGCAGATGACAGGAAGTGCCACCTCTGTCCTTGTGTGGGCTGCTTGGCGCTCGTCCTTCCATGTGGTCTCTGTGCATCTCACGCCATTCCCGCCGGGAGCTGGTCTGGCTTTCGGTAACAAAAGGTTTGGTGGGTGAAGGCAGTGCTGAAGAGGAGGCAGACCCGGCCTCGGGCTGCAAGTAGAAGGAACCTGTTCCCACTCCGGGAGGTCCTGGCCAGCCCCGGCCTGCCCTGGCCTGCCCGGGCGTGCCCCAGCCTGCCCCTGCCCGCCTGCCCTGGGGAGAAGAGGAACCTGAAAGGAGAAGTCCCTGAGTGCCCAGGGCCCGGCACCCGTGCCTTCCTGGCGGGCCTCTCCCAGAATCTGTTTTTAGTCTGGGGGCCACGCCTGGTGGTGCTTGGGCTTACCCGGCCCTGTGCTCAGCGGTCAGTCCTGGGGGTGCCGGGAACAGGACCTAGGCCGAGCGAGTACCCAGGCAAGCTCGCCCCGCTTCCCTGTGGCTCCAGTCACTCTCTGGGTGGTTCCTGGCCCCCGCCGCTGGCTTGGGGCTGTGGAGCAGCCCAAACCTGGCAGGGAGCTGCAGAGCCCCGTTCTCTCTCTCTCTCTCTCTCTCTCTCTCTCTCTCTCTCTCTCTCTCTCTCTGTCCCCACCTTCGACACAGGACTGCTTGTCAGCATGCATCTAGACTTGGTGGGGCTGGAGCGATAGCACAGCAGGGAAGGTGTTTGCCTCGCAGGCGGCCGACCTGGTTTCTATTTCCAGCATCCCATATGATCCCCCGACCACCGCCAGGAGTAATTTCTGAGTGCAGAGCCAGGAGGAACCTGGAGCATTGCCGGGTGTGACCCAAAAAGCAAAAATATAAATAAATAAATAAATAAATAAATAGAGACTGACTTGGGAAAACGAGCTGGCCCCCAGATGCCAGGTTTCATCCTGTCCTATGATCCCAGGGCTGAGTAAGACGGGGCCAGAGACTCGGGGCAGGGGAGATGGTGGGCCAAAAGGCAGGTGCAGTGGGGTCACCCAGCACAGCCACAGACACTGCAGCCGTGAGAAGCCCGGACTCGGCTCACTGTGGGTGGGGCGGGGAACAGTCGGCCTGGCGCCGAGTCTGGGCCGTGAAATGTTGCACAGTCTCCGAAAGATCAAAATAACCCACTGGGACACATCCCTGGGTCCCGCTGGGAACTCGGAGCAGAGGTGTATACTGTGACAGGTTTGCAGAGTGGATCCGTCCCAGCGACAGGCGTGACCTGGGGCTTCAGGCTCATCCTTGTGCCCCGTCCTGGGAAAATCACTCAGAAAAAGACAAAACCCTTGGAGCCTGATGCCAAACTCCTGAAAGGTCAGGCAGGGGTGGGTGGGCAGGAGTGCTGGGGTGAGACCCTCAGGTTGGCGGGCGAGCATCCCTGTGCTCCCTGAGGGATGTTTTCTTGCCTGTGGGCGAGAGGGGCCTTCAGAGCTGCCCACCCCTGGGAGAAGCCTGGGTATCCCCCTTCTCAGAAAGGCTCAGCTGGAAATGCTTGGGGTGAGACCAACATGGAAACTGCAGAGCTCATCCAGAGCCTGGGTGGGGGCGCAGGAAGGGAGGGCACGGCTGCCCCCCCCCCCCCCCACCACCACCCCATTAGCAGCTCTCGGAAGTCTTTCCCCGAGCAGCTGCTAACTCTCAGGATGGGCCGCAAAGGGAAGTGCCCAGTTCCTCAGTGAATGCGTCTGGCTGGGACACAGAAGTGGTGGGGATTCCCCCGGGAGGGCTAGGGCATGTCCCCTTCCCCCTCGAAGACCAGGACCCCACACTGCCCAGGCGCCATGCTGGATCTGAAGTGGGAGGCAAAATAGGAATGTCTGGGCCGAGCCCCCCTGAACCCCCTGGCGAGGCCTGCTGGAGGGGGCCCGGAGAAGTGAGGGGAGGCCGGGGAGGGGCCTCAGGCGGCTCCTGGAGGGGGGGACTCCACGCCCGCTCCTGTCCCCAGCACTTCCCAATCCCACCTTCCAGTTTTCACCGCTTTTCCTCCCTTCCTTTCTTTCTTTCTTTCTTTCTTTCTTTCTTTCTTTCTTTCTTTCTTTCTTTCTTTCCTTCCTCCCTCCCTCTCTCCCTCCCTCCCTCCCTCCCTCCCTCCTTTCTCTTTCTTTCTTTCTTTCTTTCTTTCTTTCTTTCTTTCTTTCTTTCTTTCTTTCTTTCTTTCTTTCCATTGACCGGCTACGAGATGCAGTTACCAAGATTTCCTCCCATTTCTAATCTTATCTAGGATGGACACATTCACACACTCTCCCGGGACAGTGAAATGAGCTGTAAGAGTATTTTGTGCCTGGGACTCCACATCTGCTGATAAAATGGTAGACGATAACAGAGCTCATCAGGGATAAAAGATAAGACTAGAATTCCCATTAAGAATAGGGCCCCGTGGCAATGAGTTCTTGGCAAGTAATAAAACCAGCGGCCCAAGGTTGTGGAAACCCACCCTGTGGACACAGGGACTAAGGCCTGTCTGACCTTTGCCTGAGCTAGCACCGACCCCGAGGAGGCTGGACCCCTCGGAGAGAAGCTCTGGCAGGAACAAAGGTCGGGAGAGGGAGAGGGAGAGCCAAACCCGCCCACTGCTCCCAGCTCTGCCCCTTGCAAGCAGCCCAGCGAGGGACTCTTCGTGGGCAGCCTGGGAGAAACCCCAGGAAGGCCAGTTTGGAGAATGGACGCGGGCCACATGCTGCCCGAGCCCAGGGACATCTGAGCCCGTGTAGTGACCGAGCACATGTAACTCTACCTTGCCCCTCCTGAGATGGGGACTTTCATGCTTTTTCCAGCCAGAGGCTCTACAAATAACATTTATTTATTATGGTCATGCCATATGATTCTTTATGTGTAAAAATCCTAGTTTCATGAAATACTCATGTTTTCAAATATTATGTCACACCATAACACGTATTACTTGCTGCCCATTTATAATTATGTATCTTTTTTTTTAATTGGCCTCTAGTTATCTGGAGGTTTGTTAACCCAGTGAGGTGCAGTTTTAGATAAAACCAGAAGACAAGGCCCCAATCCTGGCCCACAGCAGCCCGAGGCTTCATCCTCCTCTGGTGAGTTTGTCTTTCATCATAAGCTCGGAAACAGAAGGAATGGCACCAGGTGTTGGATTGTAATGGAAAAACCAAGATTACAGGATTCAAAAGCTTTAAACAACATTTTATTTGAGACACAAAACAACACAACTTCTCTTGGTCTCAACAAGCGTATCCTTACGAACATTTGCAGGCTGAGTGGAGGTCAGACACAGACCCTGTGTTGGAGGAGTGACAGTGTGTGACGAGGGCCAGCTGACCTGGACACAGGCAGGCAAGGTCAAGAGAGCAGCGTCCAGCATGGCTCGGACACGTGGCTAAGTGCAGAGCTCACGGGACCAGGGTGCCGGCATGTGGCACAGCCCATGAGGCAGGAGCTTTCCCACAGCTCTGGGACACTGTGATGTCATCACCAAAACGAGAGGGAATAAAACTGTGTCACATCGTCACAAATGTCTGCCTCGACTCACACTGAAGACTTCTTACCTAACAGCATTCTTCAACCGATGCCTTATGTGCCTGCACTGGGATTACCCTTCCTTAAAACTTCTGAAGGAAAAGCAAGCAGCCGTAGAAGAAATCAATACCTATCAGTATGGACACAGGAGAGAGCTCTTTCTGTCCTGCAAAGATCTGTTCTGCCATCAGACCATAGAAGAAGGAGAGAAACTGCATCAGTCATAGAAGAAGGAATGAAATGGCATCATATCATTGAAGGAAAGAAACTTTATCAGATCATAGAATAAGGAGAGAAACTGCATCAGATCATAGAAGAAGGTGAGAAACTTCATCAGATCATAGAAGAAGGAGAGAAACTGCATCAGATCATAGAAGGAAAGAAACTGCATCAGATTATAGAAAGAGAGAAACTGCATCAAATCATAGAAGGAGAGAAACTACATCCGATCATAGAAGGAGAGGAAATGCATTAGATCATAGAAGGAGAGAAACTGCATCAGATCATAGAAGAAGGAGAGAAACGGCATCAGATCATAGGAGGAAAGAAAATGCATCAGATCATAGAAGGAGAGGAACTGCAAACCAAAATTAAACAGGGACATTTCAGGAGCACTTGCACAATTTCTTGGTTCCAGTGGTCAAATATGTCCAGGTGAAAAGGAATTCCTTTCATGAATCCATGCAATTTGTAGAACTGCTTTTACCTCCCACCCCACACACACTATTAATTGAGAAGGGGGTGGTGTGCCTTTAGCATACAAATAAGTGATGAATTCTGAGATTTCCCCACCCATGCCCGCAGTCCTGCAGATGCGGGCACTGATTCTGGAGTTGATAGGAAGACTGCAGTTTTGAAGAAGTGCTCGCTATCCTCTGAGCCCAGTGCTTCCTGCAGCCCAGCAGCGGTGACTCAGCGGGCAAACGTGGCAGTGCAGTGAGAGGTCTCTCTCCTCCATCTTCTCCATTTCTCATCATTCACATGACACCATTTGGTTGTGGTTGTCTGTTAAATTTCCTGTTCGGTCTGGTTTCAGCAAACCCAAACCAATAGCCCACAGACAAGGCCACGGGGAGAGGGGGCTGGCGTTCCTTTGGGTGTTTTCCCCCTGAAGATGCGGAGGGAAGAAGAGAAAAGCCACCGCAAGGCGTGCAGGTCACAGCAGCTTCAGTGCACCAAAGAAGGTGGCGTCCCCGTCCCGGGAGATCCTTGCGTCCTCCCGCGGGATGGCCAGCTGGAGCTCGTCTCCCACCTCCAGCCTGGCAATGCCTGGGAGGAACGAGTCACAGAACCGTCAGAGGGCACAACGGGAAAGGAACAGGGTCTTAGATCAAAGCAGCCGGCTGAGGGTTTGCACGCGATGCGGCCACAGGGCCACCTGGACTCAGTGACCACAGACCAGCCCCGGGATGTTCTGAGAATCTCAGGAGTCACCCCAGGTACCAAGGCACCAGTGACCTGCATAAGGTCGGAAAATCTGAACAGGATACAAACATCAAAATTTAAGAAAACAAAGTGAAGTAAAACGCAGCACCTTCCTCTGTGGGATCAACTATATAGTTCAGATAGTTACAAGCTTCATCTTACTGGCAAGAAAGGCCCTCCCGTTGATCGTCGATTTGCTCGAGCGGGCCCAGTAACGTCTCCATTGGAGACTTTGTTGTTACTGTGTCTGGCATATCGAATACTCTCGGTAGCTTGCCGGGCTCTCCGAGAGGGGTGGAGGAATCGAACTCGGGTCGGCCATGTTGGCCGCTTGTAAGGCGAACGCCCTACCCGCTGTGCTATCGCTCCAGCCCAGCTTTTGAAAACACCATTACATAAAAATTCGAAATGTACAGGACTGCATAGTTCCAAATAAACTCAAACGCATGTCTGAGGGCCAGAGAGAGTCTCTTGCCTTGCACAAGGCTGAGTGGGTCTGACACCCAGAACTACATAGGGTTCCCTGAGCCCCTCCGAAGGTGATTCTTGAGTGCAGAGCCAGGAGTAAGGCCTGCGGACAGCGGGTTGTGGCCTCTAATTAAAATAATAATAACAATAATAATAATAATAAACAAATGTGCAAATAAGAAACATAAAGGAATGAAGTGAACTCTCGAGTGGACTGTGGGCTCAAGGACCTTGTGATCACTTTCTTGTCTTGGAAGTCTGTTGCCACAAGTGATCACATTTGTCAGTATAATCAAAACCAACAGCCGGCAGCTTCCCAGGGGTGATGGGTGGGTCAGAAGTGTCTAAGGCACAAGGACCAGCTCTGGGGCCCAGGAGGGGGAGGCATACGTGGGGAAAATCTTTTCCCTGTCCCATTTCAGAAGGAAAATGAGAGGAGAGGAGATGTGGGAGCTCACAACACAGGCTGGCCCCATGGTGGGGCCACGACTGGGTTCTGGAACTCTGGGTGCTGGGTCATGGGGACTCTGGGTGCTGGGTTCTGGGTGTTCTGAGCTATACATGCATATGGTGATGGTTGGCCATCATCAACACTTAACCCCTGGATCCTTCCAGCCATGTTTGTGGGTGTGACGAGTGTTGGGTTACAATCTGACGACATCCTGATCATTGTTGGGTACCACTATTGCTCATTTTATCATATTCGGAGCCTCTGATGGTTGGGGAAGTATGGTGGGGTCACCACATGGCCAAGCAAAGGAGATGAGCCATGTTCAAGCTAAATGGTCCAGAGGCAGAGCCCTTGCTACGTGTGCACAAAAATGGTAAAACAAGTAATGGTTTCATCTGTCCCAACTAAGATGGACTGATCATCTTCTGTTTTTATATTTTTTGTTTTTATTTGGGGGTTGAGGGGACACACATGGCAGTGTTTAGGACTTACTCCCATCTCAGTGTGTCTCAGGGACCATTCCTGGCCAGGCGTGAGGGACTATATGGGGTGCAGGGATCATCCTTGGGTCCGCTGCACACAAGGCGAGTGCCCCACCTGCTGTGCTATTACTCTGGCCCCTTGGGCTGTGCTTAACCCAGGAAGTCACCCCGCTGAAAGGGGAAGGTCTGTGTCTCGGTGGGGGTCGTGGCCAGGTGCTGGCTTTGTACTGCAGAGCTGAGATAGTCGTGAGCAGTGCACTGCACTTACCCGCCGAGTAGCAGGAGTTATTGGGGAGCGTCTCTGGCATGTTCTGGATGCATCGGAACAACGTCACCAGACTCAGCTCGTCCCCGAAGACGTGGACCTTCTTCCTCTGTATCAGGTGCCCCATGGCGAAGGTGCTGTCCGTGTACAACACCTGGGGGATGGGCAGGCGGTCAGCTGCGGCCCAAGGGAGGCACGGCGCTATCCCCCAGCCTTGGCCTGGCGTACCTGGCCGTAGATGAAGAAGTAGCCCGCTTCTTTGACCAGGATTTTGTTCTCTCTCTCTTCTAAGGCTTGTCCTCGCTTAAAGCTGAGAAGCCAGGGAACAAAGGTGTAGGCTCCTGGGCAGAGAGAACGGGAAATAGGGGAAGAGCCAGCCTTTCCTCGGCAGGGCCTTCCAGAGCTGACCCATCCGAAAGGAGGCTTTCCTGCTCAAAACGCTTTTCAAGGAGGAAAAGAGGCAAAGGCCCCACTGTCCACACAAAGCTTCTGGGGTGCCATGTCCATAATCCCCAACAACTCCAACATGCAAGGAGCCAGAGGCTTTGAACGGTTACAGGATGAAGGTGTGAGGAGCAAGGGGTGGGAGGGTCTGCAGGGCTCCTCTTGGGCTCTCTGAGAGGTGGGAGTAAGTGCCTGATCTCCCAGGGGACCCTGCAGGGCGGCCGGGGCTGTGTCGGGAGGGATGGAAGGTGGTATGGGACCAACCGAGGCACAGGCAGGCTGAGCATGAGGGACTGACCAGAGTGCTGGCCAGGACTGACCTGCCACATCAAAGAGATGAAACTCGATCACTGGGTCATACCACAGATAGACATACAGGAAGCCCCCTGCCCCCACCCATTAAAGGGAAGCTCAGGGGACATGCCCAGGGCTCTAGCCTCACGGGGGAACTGGACAATCAACTGAAGTGGCCGGAGAAGCAACAGAGAAGACACGGATGGGAAGACAGACGCCCACTGGACACTGTCAGTGCCTGACCACTGAGCAATGGGGCCGGATGCTGGGACATCCTGCGGACGGCAGGCTCAGAGCCCAAGCATGGCCAGAAGTCACACAACAAGAAGAACAACAAAAAGTCATCTTATTATTATTATTATTATTATTATTATTATTATTATTGGGGGCTGGAGCGATAGCACAGTGGGTAGGGCGTTTGCCTTACATGCAGCCAACATGGCTGACCCAAGTTTGATTCCTCCACCCCTCTCGGAGAGCCCGGTAAGCTACCGAAAGTATCTCGCCCGCATGGCAGAGCCTGGCAAACTACCCGTGATGAATTTGATATGCCAAACACAGTAACAATTGTCACAATGGAGACGTTACTGGGCCCGCTCGAGCAAATCGATGAACGGGATGACAGTGATACAGTGATTATTATTATTATTACTTTACAAAAAAGGGGAAAAGGTCTCAACTAACACTTCTTCAGAGAAGACACACTGATGACCCAAAGACATATATATTTTTAAAAAAGATGTTTAACATTAGCTGCTGTTAAGGAAATGAGAATTAAAACAAACCCATGTACATGAAAATAACCTATACCCAGAAAATTAAAAATCATTTTTTTACAAAGACATGGAGAAAAAGAACACTATTAGCAAGAATGTAAACTGGAAAACAGTATAAAATTTCCTTTAAAAGAATTAAAATGGGGGCTGGAGAGATAGCACAAGCAGGTAGGGCATTTGCCTTGCACGCAGCTGACCTGGGTTCGAGTCCCAGCATCCCATATGGTCCCCTGAGCACCACCAGGAGTAACTCCTGAGTGCAGAGCCAAGAGTAACCCCTGTGCAATTCCGGGTGTGATCCAAAAAGCAAAAAAAAAAAAAAAAAAAAAAAAAGAATTAAAATGGAGATTTCATATGACCCATCAATATTACTCCTAAACATTTATCTGGAGGATTTAAAACAAAAATTGTTTTGGGGACCACCTGTGGCAGTGCTCAGGGATGACTCTTGGCTCTGAGCTCTGGACTCCTGAGGCTTTGGGACCCCCTGGAGGCTAGGGACGGAACCCGATGCGTTGTGGGCACAGCGAGCACCCTGCCTGCTGTATCACTGCTTCAGGCCTCCCTGGAGGGCACAGAAACACCAGTTTAAAACGGTTTCTGCCACGGAGAGAGGGAAGAGGTAAAGGGAAGCTGCCTGGAAGCAGCCAGCCCAGTTCAACCCCCCTGTCCTGCATGTGCTCCCCCAGCACCAGAGCCAGGAAGAGCCCCCAGGACTGACCACGGGGGCGGGCCCATTCCCCCAGGCTATCTACACCTGTGTTCAGAGCAGCATGACCCGTGACAGTGAAAATGGTTGACCCTGGTGCCCATCAACAGGTAACAGGAGAGGGAAACCACAGCCACCAAATCAGTGAAAGATGGGAGCGTGCAGTGAGGACACGGCATGGCTGGATCTGAAGTTATTATGTTGAATGCACTGTAGCACTGTCCTCCCGTTGTTCATTAATTTGCTCAAGGGGCACCAGTAACATCTCCATTGTGAGACTTGTTGTTACTGTGTTTGGCATATCAAATATGTCACAGGTAGCTTGCCAGGCTCTGCCATGAGGGCGGGATACTCTCTGTAGCTTGCTGGGCTCTCCGAGAGGGACGGAGGAATTGAACCCAGGTTGGCCGCGTGCAAGGCAAACGCCCTCCCCACTCTGCTATCGCTAGAAAATTATTATGTTGAATAACTAAGGAAATAAAAGCAACTTCCAAATGTCTTCATTCATTTGGAAGCAAAGAAACTGTCAGAAAACAAGAAAACCTAGTGGCGACTGAAAAAGAACTGGAAGGGAGGCATGGACACGGGCTAGACGAACAGGCAGGGGCTGGACATGTGCTGGAGGGCCCGGGCAGTGACTCTCCTCTGAGGGTTTCATAGTTTCACTGGTGAGCCCATCTATCTAGACGGGACACTTCCTGGAGAGATTCTTCTTTTTTTTTTTTAAAGGTAAGGTAAGGTAAAGGCCCTCCCGTTGATCGTCGATTTGCTCGAGCGGGCCCAGTAACGTCTCCATTGGAGACTTTGTTGTTACTGTGTCTGGCATATCCAATACTCTCGGTAGCTTGCCGGGCTCTCCGAGAGGGGTGGAGGAATCGAACTCGGGTCGGCCACGTTGGCCGCTTGTAAGGCAAACGCCCTACCACTGTGCTATCGCTCCAGCCTACTTTAAAAAAAATTTATTATTCTTCTGCCGTTCCCCCCCCCCCACCCCCACCAGCAGCAAGGTGGCCGCTGCCTCAGAGCTTATTGGAAAGCCAGGTATGAACCAGTGGTGTTGGGGCAACTGCAGTCTCATGGGAAGGGGACGGTACCAGCTAGTCCTTCACGCCTACCGAGGTCACAAGTTGCCCCCCACGAGTGGCTCTCCAGCATGGCCATGGCTCCAGAGGCAAAAGGACTTAGTCCAGAGCCCGACAGCTTGCGGCAGAAAAGTGCATGGACCATGCGTTTAACTACGGCGCCATGCCTCCCCTGGAGGGAAAGGGTGTGGCTCCCTTCCACCTTCCCCCCCCCCCCCCGCCCCACCCTCCCAGCAGCAAGGTGGCCGTTGCCTCAGAGCTTATAGGAAAGCCAGGTATGAGCCGGCAGTGATGGGGCAACTGCAGTCTCATGGGAAGGGGGGTGGTACCGGCTCCTCCTTCACACCCTACAGAGGTCACGAGCTGCCCCCCACGAGTGGCTCTCCAGCACAGCCATAACACTGGACGCACAGAAACCAATCTCGTAATGATCTGGCTCTTTGCAGAAATCCAAAATCATTATATGACATTATATAATTCTCATACCAGCTATAGAAAACAAAGTATTTCACAATGACTTTTCAGCAATTCTGATTGTTGGGGGGAAAGTCTAAACAATAATGGTGCATCTTTTGTCGAAATAATGAATGTAATCAATGTAGAGAAGAGTTAAGTAGAAATCATCTGCCTCACGGGCATTGGGAGGGGTGGGGGGTATATTGGGGTTCCTGGTGGTAAAAAGTGAATACTGGTGAAGGGATCATTGTATGACTGAGACTTAAATCTGAAAGCTTTGTAACTTTTCCCACAGTGATTCAATAAATAAGTATAAGAAGAAAAATAAATAAATGAATAAAATTATGAAAAAAAGAAAAGTAAGGTGGAGTTCACGCCCAATTCAATCAGCTAATCAGTGGCTGAATAAATAGCAGTATCCTATATTAAAAAAATTATTATTGAATCACCGTGAGATACATTTACAAGCTTTCATGTTTGAGTTTCAGTCATATAGTGATCAAACACCCATTTCTCCACCAGTGCACATTCTCCACCACCAATGTCCCCAGTATATTCCCCCTTTCCAACCCTCCCCCTGCCTCCATGGCAGATAATTTCCCCCATACTGTTTCTCTACTTTTGGGCATTATGGTCTGCAATACAGATACTGAGAGGCCATCATGTTTGGTCCTTTATCTACTTTCAGCACACATCTCCCATCTCGAACGATTCCTCCAACCATCATTGACTTGGCGATCCCTTCTCTATTATAGCTGCCTTCTCCCTGCAGAGATTCTTGATCCCTGTTTCAATTTCCTTAATTGCCATTGGCCTGTTCAGGCTCTCCACCTCTTCCTCACTCAGCTTTGGGAGATGACATGACAAAAGTTGATCCATCTCTTCTAGATTCTCCAGCTTCAGAGCATAAAGTTGTTCCTGGTAACCTCTCATTTTATTCTGAATATGAGGGGTCTATAGTGATTTCTCCCCTTTCATTTCTGATCTGATTTATTTGGACATTTTCTTTATTCCTTCTTGTGAATCGAGCTTGTTTATTCTTTCAAAGAACCAACTCCTGGTTTCATTGATTCTTTGTATTATTATTATTATTATTTTGAGTCTCTGTATTATTCATTTCAGCTTTTAGTTTTTCCTATTTCCCTCCTTCTAGTATTTTTTGAGTTCATTTGCTATGCTGTCTCCAGATTTGGGAGATGTGTGTTTAGGTAGTTGACTTGGGCTCTTTCTTCTTCCTTCACGTAGGTCTGCACTGTGTGACCCTTAGTAAAGCTTTTGCTGTATCCCACAGATTCTGATGGCTGGTGTCTTAGTTCTCATTAGTTTCAAGGAAGCTTTTAAGGTCCTCCTTGATTTTCTCTTTCATCCAGTTGTTGTTTAGTGGATCACTTCTGGTGGTGTTTGGGAGACTGTATGCAGTACCAGAGGGGAAAATCAGTGTCAACTGCATGTGAGGGAAGTGGTGTAGACCCTGTGGTATATCCCCAGCCCTTGTAGAATCACACTCACTCAGACGAGCCTCCAGCCCACCCCGCCACCTCTAGATCTTGGGGTACCAGGCAAGATGAAAGGGAGGTCCAGGCTGAGTGGCAGGTGACCTGCCTCACTGCTGAAGGAGTGCACGGCCAGAGACAGTTTGCTATGATGAGGTATTTTAATTGGGGGGGGGGGGGGGGTGAGTATTAGGATGCAAAACATGTTTCCAAATTAAGATTGCAGGCAAGAAATGGCTATCAGGAGACTGCGAAGATAATGAAAAGGAAGATATCTGTGACTGCACAGGACAACAAATATTTTCTTTGTGAAAAAGAAGAAGAAGAAGAAGAAGAAGAAGAAGAAGAAGAAGAAGAAGAAGAAGAAGAAGAAGAAGAAGAAGAAGAAGAAGAAGAAGAAGAAGAAGAGGAGGAGGAGGAGCATGGGGAAGTGACCAGGGCTCAGGGGTGCACTCCAGTGGCTAAGGGCGTGCCCTGCCATGGACAGCCCTGGTGTGAGGGCCCACCCCCCACCCCCAGACTGACAACAAACCCAGGTCGCTGTTTGGGTTGCTGCAAGGGTCTGCGCACGGGAGGCCAGGCCTGGCAGGCCACACAGTGGCCCGGCCCTGCCCCTGCTCCCCACTCCCCAAAGACCCGGGAAAGCCGCTAATCAGATCTCCACAGCCAATAAAGCAGCCCCTGGAGATGGGAGACATGCTGGTTTCCAGAGTCCTGCAAAGTGATGCTTTAGGGGCTGGAGCTATAGCACAGTGGGGAGGGCATTTGCCTTGCATGCGACCGACTGAGGTTCAATCCCCTGCATCCCATATGGTCCCCTGAGCACCGCCAGGAGTAATTCCTGAGTGCAGAGTCAGGAGTAACCCCTGAGCATCGCTGGGTGTGACCTAAAAAGCAAAAAAATTTAAAAAAAAACCAGAAAAATGCAAAGTGATGTTTCACTTTCAGACAATGACCCGAAGAGTCACTTTTGTAGTCCAGACCTGGGCTAAAGCACGGAAGGGGTGTTGTGCTCAGGGACACCGAGACCAGAGTGACCAGCCCTCGCTCCCTGGAGCCTCACAGACTCCCCCTCAGCTCTCGTCCGTCCTTACACATCTTTCTCCCAGAGATGCCCTGAGATGAACCTTGTCACGGAGCAAACTCTGGGCTGCCCTCGTCTGCGACATGCCCCAGACTCCACTCGGGGGTGAGGTCCAGAGCTGCCCAATTCCCAGCTCAAGTGAAGCGTCTCCTCACAGCGCCAGAAAAGGCCCCCCAGGTGGGGCAGGGCTGCCATGCACTGGAGGTCGCATCCCGGGCTCTGCGCTGCCTGCTGTAGGGACAGCAGCCAGCGCAGAAGCCCTCCGACCTGAGCACTCATGTAGAGGGCCGAGCCGGGGTGCGGGGGAGGATCAGGCCAGTGCAGCTGCCTATGATTCATAGAGTGTGTGCAAACCTTTTCCAAGTCCCTGTAGCACTGTAGCACTGTCCTCCCGATGTTCATTGATTTGCTCAAACGGGCACCAGTAACATCTCACAACAAATTGTGAGACTTCTTGTTACTGTTTTTGGCATATTGAGTACGTCACAGGTACCTTGCCAGGTTTTGCGTGTGGGTGAGATACTCTCGGTAGCTTGATGAGCTCTCTGAGAGGGCCGGAGGAATCAAATCCAGGTAGGTCATGTTGGCCACGTGCAAGGCAAGGCAAATGCCTTACCCACTGTGCTATTGCTCCAGCTGAGTGATAGCATAGTGGAGAGAGTGTTTGCCTTGCATGCGACTGACCCGGTCGACCGGAGTTCGATTCCTCCACCCCTTTCGGAGAGCCCAGCAAGCTACCGAGAGTATCTCGCCTGCACAGCAAAGCCTGGCAAGCTCCCCACGATGTATTCGATATGCCAAACACAGTAACAAGTCTCACAATGGAGACCTTACTGGGCCCACTCGAGCAAATCACAGTGCTACTATTTCTTTCCAAGTTACATCATTTTAAAATGTTATCTTTGGCCCTCGGGGCCTGTTTTGGCTTTATTTTTATTTTTAGGAAACAGTTTGCTGCTTTCAAAAGAGCTGCAAGCACAGGGCTCTGGGGGAGGAGAAGCCATCAATCATAGTACTTCCCAGGCCTCGGTCGCGGAGGAAACAGCAGGAAGGGGGCAGGGGGGGTGGCAGAGCATCCCCACACAGGGTCCCAACCCCCCTCACTGCACCTCCCCACTGGCTCAGTGACCTCAGCCCCACACAGACATTCCATGGCTCCACCTTCTCTGTTCTCCTCCACTGCCCGGCCCTCCTCTGCAGTACTTGTTTTTCCCTGGGCCTTTGGTTTCTTCCTGGCAGGGACCCTCCATGAAAACAGGGGTTTGTTCACTGCGAAGTGTCAGTCACATGACTGAAAAGAACGTTTCTGCTCTTAACCCATGTGTGCAAAAGGAACAGTTTGATACTGGAAATAAGTCATGAAAATACCTTTGCATGAGAGGCGGGAGATCTAAATCCATGTGGGGGACACGCCTTGCTGCCCAGAGCTGACCCTGAGCACTGTCAGGAGTGGCCTCAGGGCCGCCACTGGGGCTGCCCTGGTCACCCCTGCACTGTCCAGCCTGGCTGGCCAAAGACCCCTCAGAGTGGTCCCCGAGCACTGCTGGGGAGGCTCCACCCCCCAAAATGCCATTTGTACTTTCTTCCATATGTGACCTGCTTTGCAAGACATTGCGGGATATAAAATAGCTATGATTTTTTTTATATCATGTAAAATCCAGTTTTATCAATAAAAGATTCAGTTTTAGCTCCATCCCATTATTATTTCTCTAACCTCACATAACAGAATAACCATTATTTGGTGTTCTGGGGTTACTGCGGGTTGTTCTTAGCTCTGTGCTCGGGGGTCACTCCCGGAGGCACGGGGCAATCCAGGACCTGTGACGCTGGGGTCACACTGGGGCTGGTGTGCGCAAGGCCAGAGCCTTCACCCCTGCACTATCTCTCTGGCCTGAGGGAATTGATATTTGTGAAGAGAACCTTGAATCACTACAGAACATACATGATTTATGTTCAAAAGAAAATTTAAGGGGCTGGAACAATAGCACAGTGGGTAGGGCGTTTGCCTTGCACGCGGCAGACCCGAGTTCAATCCCCAGCATCCCATATGGTCCCCCTGAGCACCGTCAGGAGTAATTCCTGAGTGCAGAGTCAGGAGTAACCCCTGAACATCTTCAGGTGTGACCCAAAGAAGGGGGAAAAAAGAAAAAAAATTAAAATCTTGTCTTGGTATTGTTTTTGCTTTATCATATTCTAATTATTTAAAAAATTCTTAATATCGAGGGGCTGGAGTGATAGTACAGCGGGTAGGGCATTTGCCTTGCATGTGGTTAACCCGGGTTTGATTCCCAGCATTCCATATTGTCCCCTGAGTACCACCAGGGGTATTCCTGAGTACAGAGCCAGGAATGACCCCTGAGCATCACCAGGTGTGACCCAAAAAGCAAAATAAAGTCACTTAATGTTAAAAAAAATCTTTATGTCAGTATTTAGTCAACGTTATCTAAATATGAGGTTCTCTGGGGTGGTTCTGTTCGCTGGATGACACTTTTACCCATAGATTCCCCTAATATTCTACAGCAAGCAACATCTAGTCATGGGGCCATTGGAGGCTTATCTGAGTCAAGTGTGGAGATGCCTAGAGGCAGCCGGGCTGAGACAGCTGGGGACCAGCACGCATTACCTTTCCGTATCACAGGCGTGTCGCTGTCTGCTATCAGTTGCAAGCAGTCTTGAGTGACTGGAAAGCAAAAACAAAGCCTTTTAGTTCCTTGGCCAGAACCAGGCAGGGGGTGCGTGGATGGAGACCCTCAGCTCCCTCTGCTGAGGATGGCCGTGTTCTCCCTTGACCTTGCCTCTTACCCGACCTCTCGCACACCTCCCTTGACCCAATAATCTCGTTATTTTTAATTCACTGATTGTCTACTCCTGGGATTCTTTTCTGTGAGGGCCAGATGGTGGAATGGAACATCCTGGTAAGGTCTAGGGCTGGTTTCCTTTCCCGCAAAGAGGAATTCCTGGCTTCCAGCTTGGGTTCACGGCCCCCTCAGAAACTGGGTGGTGAGGACCACATCCCATACCATGCAGGACAAGGGGATGTCAGGTACAGCTTGACACCTCCTAGAAGAACTGGTGAAATGTGAGGTCTGTGCGTGCCAGGTTCTCAACAGATGGTCCTGTGAGATCTGTGCTGTGTCGGGGCTCTGAGGAGACAGTCCTGTGGGGTCTGTGCCATGCAGAGCTCTGAGGAGACAGTCCTGTGGGGTCTGACCCATGTAGGGGCTCTGAGGAGACAGTCTTGTGGGGTTTGTGCCATTTGGGGCTCTGAAGAGAAAGTCCTATGGGGTTTGTGCCATGTAGGGGCTCCGAGGGGACAGTCCTGTGGGGTCTGTGCCATGTGGGGCTCTAAGGAGACAATCCTGCGGGGTCTGTGCTGTGTGGATCTGAGGAGACGGTCCTATGGGGTCTGTGCCATGTAGGGGATCTGAGGAGATGGTTCTGTGGGGTCTGACAGGGCTCTGAGGAGACAGTCCTGTGGGGTCTGTGCCATGTAGGGGATCTGAGGAGATGGTCCTGTGGGGTCTGACAGGGCTCTGAGGGGACAGTCCTATGGGGTCTGTGCCATGTAGGGGATCTGAGGAGATGGTCCTGTGGGGTCTGACAGGGCTCTGAGGGGACAGTCCTGTGGGGTCTGTGCCGTGTAGGGGCTCTGAGGGGACAGTCCTGTGGGGTCTAACTCATGCAGTGGCTCCGAGGGGACAGTCCTGTGGGGTCTGTGTCATGCGGGGCTCTGAGGAGACTCTCACCAGCCCTGTGAAGTCTGACTTATGAGGGCTCCTAGGAGAAACTCATCAGTCCTGGACCTCCTGGGAATTTTGGGGTGACTGAAGTGGATAAAGAGAAAGTGGGAGATTTCCTTCACGAGACTGCTGTCTCTCAACTCCTCACTTCACATAAATCACCCCGGGGTTCCTCTCAGGCGAGACCAAATGGCTCCCATGGCAGCGGCTCCAGGTCCATCCCACCTGCCCTCTCCTGCCCAGGGCCCGGTTTCCCTTTCCAAGGTCTGAGTCATATGCAGCTTTACAGCGTTACTTGTGTTCAAAGATTAGGCATGGGGCTGAAGCCATTGTACAGTGGAGAAGGTGCTTGCCTTTCATGCAGCCAACCAGGGTTCATCTCTGGCACCACACTTGGTCCCCCAGTTCCCTCCATGACTGATCCATGAACACCGAACCAGGGGTAAGCCCTGAGCACTGCCAGGTTTAGCACAAAATTCAAAAAATTATTTTAAATAAAATAAAAAAATAAAGGTTATACCATATGCTTATAGCTGCTCTCTATTAGATTAAGAAAGTTACGTTCACTCCCAGCTGGCTAAAGGATTTTGTACCTTTTCAAAGATGAATTAAGTTTCATTTATATTGAATGCTCTATGTCTGATCAGGTATCTTTTTTTAATCCATAGATTTTTATTGTAATCATTTCTTTATCAGTACAGACACAAGAAGTATCTATAATATTTCCTAATAATATAGTCAGTATTTCCTGTCTTAGCATAAAAAACATGTTTATACTCTTATAAACCTATTCAGATTTTCCCTTGGAAATTTTCTAAATTCTCTCCACCCTTACTAAATTTTACATGTGTAGACTTTACCTATTTCATGTAAAATCTAGAATGTAATGGATTAGCATAGAATTATTTGTACTACTAATTTTTCTTTTTGGGTCACACCAGCGATGCACAGGGGTTACTCCTGGCTCTACACTCAGGAATTAACCCTGGCGGTGCTTGGGGGAACCATATGAGATACGGGGAATTGAACCCGGGTAGGCCGTGTGCAAGGCAAACACCCTACCTGCTGTGCTATTGCTCCAGCCCCCATACTACTCATTTTTAAAAAATGTATACACCTCTAAAGAAAAATTTTGAGAAAAAATTTATTTTACTAACTTATCATTGATTTACAATTTTATGGAATTTCAGGTTCCTTCTATTTCTATTCATCTATATGTGTGTAGGTATCACTACAGAGAGAGAGAGAGAGAGAGAGAGAGAGAGAGGAACAGACAGACAGACAGACAGATCATCCATGTGTGGAATAAAGAAGAAACATAGTAAGGAAATACAAATGGTCCAATTAATCAGAAGGGAAGAGTCTGCCTATAGGAAACTGAGCTTCCAGGGACGGGGGAAAGGACCATGGGAGATGCAGGCTCTGGGTGGTGTGGGAAATGATGTGTGCATGTGGTGAACAGTATGTAAATCCAAGTACCTCCATAAAAATGCTTAAAAATATAAAAAAAATTAGCCCTACAGAGGAGCAAGGCTAGTCATGACCAGCTGTTTTCCAAGTCTAATCCATGAACCAGTTAAACGCTCAGACTATTCTGGAATGCTGTTTCATTTCACAACATTTGACATAAAAGTATGACGCGCTAGTACTGAAAGACTCTCCTGCCCCCGTGCCGACGTTCCGCAGAATTCCCAGCAGGGGCCGGCACGGTGCTGAGCTCCGTGTGCTGGTGAGGCAGCCTGGACATTGAGCAGCCGCTCCAGGGGGGGTTAGTGGTCACAGTTGTAGCCCTGCCATCTCTCTGCTGCCAAAGTGCCTTCTGGCCAGAACTCTGCACCACAATGAGAAGGAGCTAGAACTCTTCTCCAAGACTCAATGGAAATTTCCCAGATGCTGCCCACTTCTGGGAAACATTAATTTGCACCAGACAGGACATGTGGCATATTCCAGAGAGCATTCAGGGGTGCAGATAAGTGTCCAAGAAGGAGAGAGACCTCCCGAGGCAGTAAGCGCCTGGAAAATATGAAACAGCCATTCCAGCATGCCTGTTTGAAGCGAGGAAAGCTGATGGTTGAGATTTTTATCATCTAACAAGTATTTTATTCAGAGTTGAAGCAATATCTCAAAGATGTACTTCTCCGTGTCTACATTCGAGGGCCCTGTCTGGAGAACTCCTGCTTCCGTTGGCTGAGAGTTTCTACCATTTCACACCTGGAATAACTGGTACGACGGTCCCCAAAGGCGAGTGGGTGTGGAGGATGAAGCCCCATTGAGGGTTGTATTTCCCCTGGTACCTACAGGCAAGGGCTGGAGCGATAGCACAGTGGTAGGGCATTTGCCTTCCAAGCGGCCAACATGGCCGACCCGAGTTCAATTCCTCTGCCCCTCTCTGAGAGCCCGGCAAGCTACCGAGAGTATCTCGCCTGCACGGCAGAGCCTGGCAAGATACCTGTGACGTATTTGATATGCCAAACACAGTAACAACAAGTCTCATGATAGAGACATAACTGGGCCCGCTCGAGCAAATCAATGAACAACGGGAGGACCAGGACCGTGACTGTGACCTACAGGCAGACTCGCAACATGAACCACTGCGACTCCTCTAGAACCCGCAGCTCTTCCCCGAGCCCACCACTGGCCGAGGGTTCTTCCCCGAAGCCACAGCTGTGTGCTGGGAGACTGAGCTCTGTGGGTCCAGTTGACCGCTGTGGCCACAGGACAAAGCAGAAGCATCACAACAGACAGCTTTAAAGGAACGTGCACAGACACAGGGAGGGCGGCTGGCATCCTTTGGATGCCGCCTGCTTCAGCCCTGACCATCTTCCCAACCAGCACTTCCTAAGGACTCGGCACAAGGGCCCCAGGGGTCTGTGAGTTCAAGAGTCAATCAGAGCAAGCTGAGCTCTGGCTCTCTCCTCCCCTCCCCCAACACACAGCCAAAGAAGACAAAGATGAAGGCAAATTCTCCATCCTCCTCTTTTATGTTGACCTGTGAACATGGACATTGTGACAAATGAAAGGGAGACTGCCTTCAAAGTGGCCAGGGCTGAAGACTGGCCTTTAGTGATTCTTCACAGTGTAAGAAATTCACTTACAAAATGAGTCAGAGAGAGAGGAATAGACACAGAAGGACTGCACCCATTTGTGGAATATGAAGTAATATAATGGGAGACTAACACCCACAGAAGTAGAGATAAGGGGCAGGAAGATCATTCCACGGCTTGGAAGCCGGTCTCACAGGCTGAGGGGGAAGGCAGTTGGGATAGAGAAGGGACCACAAAGTGAAAGATGCTTGGAGGGCTCGCTTGGGATGGGAGACGTGTGCTGAAAGTAGACTATAGACCGAGCATGATAGCCACTAAATACCTGTATTGCAAACCACAACACCCAAAGGAGAGAGAGAGAAAGAGAGAGAGAGAGAGAGAGAGAGAGAGAGAGAGAGAGAAAGAGAGAGAGAGAGAGTAAAAGGGAATGCGCCTGCCACAGAGGCAGGGGGAGAGGATGGGGTGAGGGTGGTGGGATACTGGGAACATTGGTGGTGGAGAATGGGCACTCATGGAGGAATGGGTGGTACTCGATCATTGTATGACTGAAATGTAATCATGAAAGTGTGTAAGTTTGTAATTGTATCTCACAGTGTTTCATTAAAAAATTTAAAATATGTATTTTATTACCCATGGAAAAATAATAAAAATTAACAGGTAATATTTGACTAACAACAACAACAAGAAAAGAAATTCACTTACACTATTAAATGTTTTCTACAAAATATAACAGAGTTATATCAACAGAAGAGAATTCCTGAAGCAAGAACCGTTGAGAGCAAAAGGTAACCTTCCAGTGATCAAAACGTGGTATAAAGTCTGAAGAACTTCAGCATTAGAAGAGGATCTAAATGTTCTCCTGCGAAAAAACTCTTTGAGGGGCTGGAGCCATAGCA